CCCCAAAACCCCAAAACCCCAAAACCCCAAAACCCCAAAACCCCTTTGTGAATCTAAAAATTGTTAGAGAGATATAAGATTTATTGCATTCGTACTCGTCGCATCATGGAAGGTACCATCATAAGCGGTGCTTTGCCCTTATTAAAGCTGAATTTCGGAGTTTTCTTCAACAACCGTTGATTACTTTTAAGATTTGTGATAGACCAGTCGAGGCCAAGCACTGGTTTAGTAATAGTTGGAGAAATCCCATTGAACCTTTTCTGGTACTGAGTTGGCCTTCGATAATTATGGAGATGGTTCCTAGTCAAACTTCTGATCTGGTCACGCAGGCTTGAGTTTATAGCGGCATTAGGAGACTCTGATTCAATTGTGTGAATAATTTTAGGAGTTAGTGTGGAAAATTGAGAGTCCTTCATGGCCTGAATGTGAGAAAGCTCTTACGTTTAGGTCTTGTGGGCAGGAGGGAATTTGGGGAGAAATGTGGTGATGAAAGCTTTTTATGACTTTATTTGGACTGAGAATCGTGTGAGAGAGTTGGTTGGGATCCTTTGGGTTTAAATTTTTGCAGGGAGATTTTCGAATGAATGGTTGAGATTTTCGAATGAATGGTTGAGATTTTGGAATTTACTGTTTTCTAATGCGGGGAAGTTGAACTTTATGTTAATCTTTGTCTTATTTTCGCTCAGTTGAAAGTGAATCTTCTCAATGAACGATTGAGTTATCGAGCGATAATGAACTCTCAGAAGCTCCAGCCTAAACATTACTCAAATCTCTCTTCCAGCTTACCTTCTCAACTCCTCTTTTTGCATCCCTCAGCGGTTGAGTATCCAAAATCTCCTGTGAAGTCCCTACAACTGCATACAACTCTGCAGCATTGTGGCCACTCCCAGCCAAGCCAGGCTGAGCCTCTGGTGTAGCTCAAGGATCTGCAGCCAGACCAAATGGGCCTTGGTCGGAGATGCGTGTCACTTCTAAGGGTCAACTCTCACTTACCGTAGCGAATGCCTGCAACTTCTCTGCCCATCCGAGTCCGTCAGGCTTCTTTGGTTCCTCTGGCACCTCTCGTGGCTCTGGTCCAGACAGGTTTGTTCCTGCTTTTGGAATGGACTCTGGGGTTTGTGGGAGCGTCAACCAAAGCTTTGAGTGTGTGCTTGTGAGCAGTCAGGCCATTGTGACCACTATGACCAGTGTGACCTATGTGGCCAGTGAAGCCGGTCTGTCGCCTGTGTTTGGAGTCTGAACCGCTAAAGTTCAGACTGAGCGACCCTCGAAACTGAGGCTGCTGAGACTCAAAGTCAGAACTTTGGACTGCAAGCTGAGGCAACATGCTGGGCTGTTCGCTCAGTTTCTCAGGCTTATCGAACTTGTCAAACTGGTCTGGTCAGCCTGGCATGTCAAGTCTGCGAGGCCTGGCTTGTCTTTTGAGTCTGCTGAGTTTCTGCTTGACTTCGCTGAAATCTGGAACTTGGCAACAGTTGTGTCTGATGATGATATTTTGTGCTTTGGCTTTGTTCTTCTTGACAACTGAAGTTAGATCAAACTTACTTTTGACTCCGATTCTGGACAGGCTTTCATACTGTCTCAGTGGTTGATGTTCGGACTCTCGAGTGTGGCCATTCTGAAGGTGGCTGAAGCGTTGGTTATTTAGACAGACTGATGGCTGGAGACCCTTTGTGAGCTAGAACAATCAGTGAGACACAAGCAAAGAGTCTGAACAATGGCTGAGTATACTGAAAGTAAACCCAATTTTATCATTTCTAAGCACTGAGACCCTAACTATAAAACAACTGAAGCACTAAGACTGATGAGACTAAGGTGATCAAGCATACTGGAGTGGACAACTCTGCGCTTTAGCTTGGTAGATATAGGTTTAGGCTTTATATTCATTATGAAACTTGATCTTGAAATAATTTTCAATAATAGATTATTTTTTAGGGGTTTTGGGGTTTTGGGGTTTTGGGGTTTTGGGG